GTGTGTGTGTGTGTGTGTGTGTGTGTGTGGGGAGAGGGGGAGTGTGTGTGTGTGTGTGTGTGAGGAGAGGGGTAGTGTGTGTGTGCGTGCGTGTGTGTGTGAGTGTGTGTGTGGGTGTGTGTGTGTGTGTGTGAGGAGAGGGGTGGTGGGTGTGTGTGTGTGTGTGCGTGTGTGTGAGGAGAGGGGTAGTGGGTGTGTGTCTGCGTGCGTGTGTGTGAGGAGAGGGGTAGTGGGTGTGTGTGTGTGAGGAGAGGGGTAGTGGGGGTGTGTGTGTGTGTGTGCGTGCGTGTGTGTGTGTGAGGAGTGTGTGTGAGGAGAGGGGTAGTGGGTGTGTGTGGGTGTGAAATACTTTAATACATTAAATAACGACTGTTTCATTTTATGAAGGTGGATGAGTTCTGTGGATGCCAAGCCTGGCCTCAACATGATGATGTTGGACATGCTGAAAAGACGACAAGTGGAAGACCCAGCTAAATATGGATGTGTAACTCTGATGTTGGATGCCATGGCCATCAAGAAACACATTCAGTACAATCCTCAGACACAGAACATGTCTGGATTTGTTGATATGGGGGATGGTATGAATGAAACAGATGTTGCCACAGAGGCTCTTGTTTTCATGGTGGTTGGCTTACAAGGACATTGGAAGGCTCCAATTGCCTACTACCTCACCAACACTCTGTCACCAGATACACAGAAGGTGTTAATTCTGCATGCATTGGAGGAGCTGCATGAGCGTGGCATAAGGGTACTCTGCATCACGATGGATGGACATGCCTCCAACATTAGTATGTGTACCCAGCTTGGGTGCCAGTTAAAGGCAAACCCGCATAATTTTATTATGGGATGTACGTTACAGTCTCTTTAAATATCCTGAAGCATGATGTCAAATATTTTGACAGGACGATGGAGAAACCGGATCCGCCGCTGACAACAACTTTTTTTTTTTTAGTTAGGTGTGATTGCATGTTAAATTATACCACGGATGTCCTCTGGTTTACATGATGAAGCTGTGGGTGGGCGAGTAATACTTAAACAGAAAAAATACCATGGGAGCACCATGTAAATACCCTGACACATGATTTTAGAAGAATACAATTTTGTAAAATATATAATTTAATTGAAATTGATTTATATATTTAATGTATATAATTTATAATTCATTTATAAAATGTGTTTAAAAATTATCATTTTATTATTGTTTTTGTTTTTATTATTATTACATCAACATTTATACATTTAGTAGACACTTTTATCCAAAGCAACTTACAATTGAGGAATTCAACAATTCATTCATAATTAGAGGTCGGCCGATATTTAGAAATCAGGGCAGCCAATGGCCGATATATGATGCCGATTTTTTGGCCGATTTTTTTTTCTTCCGCTTCATCTCATAAAAGTGAGTTTGAGTAAATGATTATTGCAGGATACAAGATAGTAATAGTAGTAGTAGCCTAATTCAGAGTAATAATTCATGGCTCAAAACTTAAGCACCTTCTCAAAACCGTTCTGAAGCATGCTTTTTGTTTATGTTTGCTGACAGACACCAGTGTTTCTCACAGACTTGCAAATGCAAATTCATTCTCTGCCAGCAGGAGGCGCTGTTGGAGCGGGAGATATAGCGGTTTCCCCGATAACGGCTGTAATCTAATAAGCGCTACTTTATCAGGCATTACCTGTTTTTATACGGTCTATGGGCATTACAGGAAAGACAACATGAAAATGACATAGAAGCTTTTCTGGAGACGGTCTGTTCTTTTCAAAGATACATTCATATAAAAACACCTGCGCTGCATTTTAATTTTGAAACGTGCAGTTCTCAGTTTATTCAAGGAAGTATAAGCCTTTTGGAAAATCTATTTGGACCTGCCTATAAATCGGCCTAATTTGCAGCACAATCGGCCGATGCCCTTTAATTTAAAAATGCCAAAAATCGGCCGATCAATCGGTCGACATCTATTCATAATACGTAATAAAAGCTTCAGACATTGTTTAGATTAGTACAAATACAAGTACTAGACGGGGGATTAAGGAAGGTGAAAGCAAAGTTGTTGTTTTTTAGGATGCACTCAAATGTTGATGAAAGAGATCACTTGAAAATTGTCACTTGAAAATTGTCAGGGATTCAGCATTCCGGATGGGGGTGGGAAGATCATTCCTCCAGCACGGAACAGCGAATGAAAATGTTCTGGGAAGGGATTTTATGCCTCTCTGTGATTGTACCACGAGGCATCGCTCACTTGTAGATCTCAGCCGCAACCGGTAGCCATTGCAGGGAGATAAAGAGAGGTGTGATGTGGGCCCTTTTTGGCTCGTTGTCATGCTGCTGCATTCTGAATCATTTGAAGAGGTTTGATTGTGCATGATGGAAGTCCAGAAGAGCACTGCAGTAGTCCAGCCTAGAAATGACAAGGGCCTGGACAAGAAATTGTGCAGCATGCTCCATTTGGAAGGGCCTGATCTTTCTGATGTTGTGCAGTGCAAACCTGCAAGATCGAGTGGTTTTTGCAATGTGGTCTTTGAAAGTCATCTGGTCATCAAAACTTGTTGTAGCTGGATGGTGAAATCATGCTGTAGAGTCTGAGAGGCAGGGAAGACGAGAAGCTCAGTCTTTGCCAGGTTGAGCTGTAGGTGATGTTCTTACATCCATGCCGAGATGTTCACCAGGCAGCCTGGGATCTGTGCAGCTATCATTGGATCATCTGTTTGAAATGAAAGATAGAGCTGTGTGTCATCAGCATAGGAATGGTAGGAGAAACCATGTGCCTATATGATGGATCCCAGTGATGTAGTGTATATGGAGAAGAGAAGGGGTCCAATAACTGATCCCTGAGGAACCCCAGTGGCCAGTTGATGTGATTTGGAACCCTCTCCTCCCCAAGCCACCCTGAAGGACTTACCTTTGAGATAGGATTCAAACCAGCGAAGTGGAATCCCATGTGATGCCCAGTGATGAGAGGGTGAACAGAAGGATCTGATGATTCGCAGTGTCAAAAGCTGCAGATAGATCCAGCAAAATGTTATAATTATAATTTAATCTGGAAAATATTTACACATTGGGTGTTTTATTTCCTATCCACTATTAGAGTATTGTTAGTTGTATAAACCTGAACAGAAACTTAAAAGGTATTTGAAATGCACTTTTCAAAATAAATATTGTTCCAAAGCAGGTTTAGAGATTTAGAGATCATTGAAAACATCTGATCTAGCAACGCTTTACTGTCAGAAATGACAGATTACAGAATAGTTTTCATCATATAACATTTTAACCTGGATTTACTGTGATATAATCTCATCCCATTTCACTGCTCTTTTGTTATGTCAAATATTGTAGAGATAATCTCATACAACACAAAAACATACTGAAGTACACAGATGGAGTTTGATGATGACACATATTTTCTGTGTTGTTCATCAGTGGTCTGCTGTGTGGGCTTCTACCTGTGGCAGGGGGAGCTGTGTTTGGCCGGGCTGACCTTTGCCCTCTTGTTGCCGGGGTCACTGGTGCAGGTGTTGAGTTTCAGGTGGTACAGGGCCGACGGAGATAAACGGACATGCTACAATTTCATCATACACACACTTCACCTGGGCATCTTCAAAAGGTGTGTGTGTGTGTTTGTGCATCTGTTTAAAGAAATAATTCTGTCAGAAATTACAATTCTGTTTATTTACTCCAGGGGTTTCCAAAATCTTTTTCACTGTCGAAACCTTTAGATATAAAATATTTACCCCCTGAGAATTTAAGTTTGTATGTCAATAATTTAATGATACATACGCATGTTCACAGATCTCTGATGTTGGTTAATAGTTACATGACATACTAGTAAACGGATAATGGAAAAATATAAATTTGCTGAAAATGCACTCACCCCCGACCATTAAGAGATGAAGATGAGGTTTTTTTTTCTTCATAGAAACAGATTTACATAAATTTAGCATTACATCACATGCTCACCAATGGATGCTCTGCAGTGAGTGGGTGCTGTCAGAATGAGAGTCCAAACAGCTGATAAAAAATCACAATAATCCACAAGCAA